ATTTCCACAAAATCCAATTTTATATTCTCTAAATTTCAAAATAATATCCAAAAGATTAGCATTTGAATTCTTTCTGGGAAGAAGACGTTCATTAGGGCTATTACCACTTCCTTATTTACTACTGGTATCATAAACTACCCTAGTTTTAGTACTAGAAGAATTTTCCCTGAAAACTTCTCTGTGAGGCACATATCCATTGAAACAACTGTTGTTGCGTATTTCAGTAACCCTGTCATTTAGTTGTTCCTTCATAACTCATTATATCTCAAATAATAAATCATCAGCCTTAAACTTCCTTTCTAATGCAGCAAATCATTTTGTCGCAATTTCTAAATTACTAGACAAATTTTCTCGTAAAGTCTCAGACTTCCATAAAAGTAGTGACTCGTACCTTCCATTTATATACCGTAACTGCGTTTTGAATTCTGTAATATTATCTGAGATTTTCTCTTTTCCATTCTCAAGAAAATAGGATTCAGAAGTCCTCAGAAGTTTCAAATCATTTTCTACCGAAGTACATCCAATCTTCAAACAGGAAGTAGAATTATGCAGACGATTTTCCGGAATCTGCCATGTGATAGTATCACCAAATAATGTCTGTTGAATGTAAGTTTTAACTTCCCCGACTAGCATCGAATACATAAAATCGTTGCTTAAGAGTACCTGGACTGGTCTGTTATCTCATAATGCATCAGAAATTTCATAGCCGTGTGAGTTAAATCTTTTAATAATTCAGGTTTGATATTAGAATACATATGAACTCTGCTGATTTCATCAATTACTAAAGCTTGAATATATATGCTAGAATAAGAAGGATATTTGCTTCTAAGAGTTATATTAACGACTTCAAAATCCTTCTCATAAGGGTTACGTTTTGCGAAAGTATAAACTAAAAGCCTTTCTTTAAAGGTTGCACATTTAAAGCCCTTACTAAATCTTTTCGAATAAATGATTTCTGTGAGCCCGAATCAAATAACATCAATGCACTTAACCATTTAAAATTATTTTCGACTTGTACGCAAGCAGTCTGAAGTAAAGTAGTGTAATTTTGTACATAGTTTTGTGACTTAAATACAGAAGACATCACAGCTTATTTATCAGAACTTTGAATAAGTTCGGCCTTTACTGACGATTTAATTTCCGATGTATATTCCTTGTTGTGGGGCGGAATAATAAATTATGCTGTAAACACTGACAAATTTCACAAGGTTCTATTTTTACCTTACATTGCAAAATTAAATGTTTGTTTACCAAACATCTATAGGAACGTCCCTCTTTTTTTAGTTTGTATTGCTTTTGTTCATCGGTGAATGTTTGACACTTTAATCCGGAATGAAAACTAGAATTACAAAAGTTGCACATCTTCACTACCGTATTTAATGCAGCTGATGTTGGAATATTGGTTTTAAATCTAGCCTGAGGTTGAAAGTGATCCTTTTCTTTTAAAGGTTCTCATGTCTTTAAAGAAAGCCCAGAAACAGTTCTTGCAGCTTCCCTATATTCAGTTTCAAGTTTGATAAAATTCATTAGCTGATTTATATCACTATAGAATTTTTAGGATCTTTCTAGCGATAAAATTCTATTACTAAATCCTGAGGTATTTGTTTTAATAAAATTGGTATTAGCAGATGAGCGTAATTTCCAGATGCAACTCCCATAGAATTTAAATTTCTTATACTAATTTCACTTTCCTCATACAATTTTCAAAGTGCGAGGAGATTTGAAGAAAACTTAACTGGCTTAATTTCTAATAATTTATTCATGAAACAACTAATCAAGTGTTCTTTTATACTGTATTGCTCCTTTAGCAAATCCAAATAGGATTTATAATTTTCATCTGTGAGCGTGAATCCCGAAACAATTTTGTAAGCTTCACCTGAAAGAAAAGATTTTAGATATATGAACTTGTCAACATTATTTAACATTAATTAGAGTCAATTGCACTTGAGAAACTATTAAAGAATTCTCGATTTAAGATCGTCATTAAAAGTGGGAATACGTAATTTTGGGAAATTTATAGAAGATGATATAATGCGAATATTCAAATTACAAACGTTAACATTTTGAGAAAATTTAAAATGTTCAGTTTCATACCTTTTTAAGTTTATTTTTATTTTGAATTTAACATTACTTATAAATTCACTAGTGGGCTGAAGCCAGCTATGTAAGGGAAGGGATGCCTTTGTGGGATTCGAAAGTTGGACCAGTGTACAGCGATTTTACCTGCAGTGTGCCCAATTTATTAACGTATGCATGCAGAAGATGCTGCATTTATTCACGTATGCATCCAGAAGATACTGCAAACATGATACACATGTGGAAAATCACGAAAACACCCATGCAGCCAGCCCGCTCGCCGGGATTCGAAAGTTAGACCGAACTACCAGTGTTCAGCGGTTATATGTGGGCTGCACCCGCTTTATTCACGCATGCATCCAGAAGATACTGCATACACAATACACATGCGGAAAACCACGAAAACACCCATACAGCCGGCTCGCACGCCCAGGATTTGAAAGTTGGATCGAACCACCAGGTTTTAGCGGTTTTGCGTGGGCTACGGCCGCTTTATTCATGTATTCATCCAGAAGGTACTCCATACACGATACACATGTGTAAAATCACTGAAACACCCATACAACCAGCCCGTTTCCCGGGATTTGAAAGTTTGACTCAACTACCTGTGTTCGGCGATTTTACCTGGTCTGTGCGGGCTGCATCCACAAGATCCTCAATAAGCGTTGCACATTCGGAAAATCACGAAAACACCCATGCAGTCGATTGTATCAATATATATATATTAATGTAATTAATAATTCATAATTACTTATAATATGAAACGTTTCCATATACTATCTCCAAGGATCACACATTCAATTTAAAACCCTGAACGAAAAAAAAATTTAATCAGAATTTAAATTAATATTTTAAACAGTAATTTCAATTTCTTTTTTTAAAATCTGCAAAGAAAATCTTTAATCTTTAAAAAAAAAGTAAATTTTAAATATTGAAAAAAAAGTACTTCCGTTTCCAACACTGTACTATCATGAATTAGTTGTTCGATTTTCAAGTTTAAAGTTAGAAGTTCATTTTTTTTTTTTCAAAACTTAACAAAAACTCCGACAAATTCTCCTGAACGCTTTCATCTTTATGAATATCCAGACTATCAAAAGAAGAATCAATTCTATTAATCAATTTCATGCAAGCACTACTAATAACTTTCCTCTTGGATTTCAGCTTGTCAAGAGTTTCCATTTTATACACAAAACAAAATTGAAAATAACAATTCAAGCGATAAGTAAACTATTAAATTACAAAGTTACAGTATCTGCAATCCAAGTGTTCAAATTTCAGCCTAGTGCAATCTGAAAGAAATAATCTGAACAGCCTTTCCTGGTTTCGGCAACATAAATAATAATAATAATAATAATAACAACTATGACATCATCACTAGAAAATTAAACAAGATTCTTGAAAGACCATGTGGTTCAAGTTCTTGTAATTTTAATTCATAACGCATCTCGTACATAACATATTAGACTGAATTATAAACCAAGTATAATTAATCAGGTAATCCTAGAGAAAGAATAAACTAAACGTAGTAAGCCAAGAAATACTTTACACCAAAATTCTGAAGTTTTATTTTCATACATTTGCTGTAAGGCCTGCCGGGAAAGAATTCAGATAACCATTAATCAAGACATCTGATCACATGATTATTTTATTTTTAACATTCAGCATGATTTAACGGTCGTCTGATCACATGATCATTTTATTTTTAACACTCCATAGGCATTACTTGCAAATTAAACAAAGAGTTTATTCATTACCATCACAGTTGTTGCAACTAAAAGCCAAATTTGGGAAATGTCTACGACTAATCATATTTTCTTTTCGTATTTTTGAAAGCCTCTTTCTAGTTACTAGATCCTATTTGAAGAAACTTTGAGCATTGCTGTCTGCATCAATACTTTTTTTTAACTCCATTTCAGTAATTTATCCATGGGTCAAAGATATTTGTATTCTAAAATACAAATAAAATGACTTATTTCTCAATACTTATTCAAATAAATGTCAACTGTAGTTGAATAAAGCAGTAAAATGTAATATTGTTGTTCTTGCTATGTACACATTTGTTGCAATGAAACAAACAACTGACTATATTGGAAAAGCATTATCATCTGACACTATAGTATGTTACTTTAAAGCAGGCACTTCTGTGCCATACCCCCCCCCCAAATTTGTGACCCTAATCCGTGTATCTCTGCATAGCATTTATGTTTGCCACATCATTTGAGACCAAGCCAGCCTTCATTTGTGTGCTTTTTATTAAGCGAAACGTTCTAAATGGAAATGAAGTGGGGAAAAAATTAAGCAAGTTGCCTTCCCCCCCACAACTTGGTTTTCCATGGTTATGAGTCATATTATGCAGCAGAAAGTAACCTTGAAGTTTCTATTTTAAAGTAACATTGTAGTCACAGCAGTATTGACATTATATGCTTGTGTGGCGCAAGTTGTTTACATACTGTGTGCTTGTGGCATATTTTAATTCTGAAATAATGCATATGTTGAAATTGCAATGCAACAGCACTGTTATTCGGTTTCTAAATATAATTTGAGGTCAACTTGGCCAGTATCACAATTTTTGATTGCTCTGCTCAGAAAATAAATTTATGAACCACAGTTCAATGTAGTATAGCTTTTAAAGTGCAAATCTGCTCTTTTTCCTTACATATTTTTCCAAGAAGTCTTAAAAATATTTCAGCTTCTCTGTGGTGGACTCTCGCCACTAAGTTTAACTGTCAGTGGACAGGGAAGTATTTCTACTTAGTGTAACTGTCTGGACTAAGAATATATTTTATTGGCTTAGTATTGATACCTTTTATTGGCTGCTTAGAAATTTATAGCTGAAGCATTGAGAATTAGGTATATAAAAAAAAACTACTTGTTGTGTTGAATATTTTTGAAATTGAAAATTAATATTTCTTTTACTTTGTTAGAATGGTGTCAAGTACAGAACAGATTGTGGAACACTGAGCTTAATCTTCATATTCCATGGCGTTTTCTCTGATTCTCCCTTCTATTTCAATTGATATATGTATAACTGTTTTAAAATCATGTGATTAGTGTTCGCAATGACTGCTTTGTATTTGTTATGTTTTAAGTAATAAAGTTTTTGAATGTGAGTAGTTTCACTTCTTTCAAAGTTTATGTGTTTATTGTTTGTTTTTGAGCAAAGTTTTCTGTTAAATAAAAAAGTATAAATAATAAATAAAAGTCAACAAAGTTAAAAAAAAAAAAAAAAAAAAAAAACTTTTAGTCATTCTTTTCTGCTGTTGCATGAAGTAGTTAAGTTCTAGTGAAAACTTTATGATGTACTGTATCTTATCTCTAAACCAAAATCTTATAGCATTTAAAAATAAGTTTCTTTATATGTAAGTATTGGGTTGTTCGGAAAGTAATTTCCTTTTTTTGGGGGGAACATGAAAGACAATTTTCGTATAATGAATAAATATTTTATTAAATTATATATTGGCCATTCTGGTCCAATACCTTTTGCCATCTTTCTGGCAGTAGCATGATTCCCCGCTCATAAAAGTTTTGGTCCTTGCTGGCAAAAAACTGATTCAGGTGGTTTTTGACATCTTCATTTGAGGTAAAGGTTTTACCATCCAAAAAATTTTGCAGAGACCGGAACAAATAATAATCGGAAGGCGCCAGATCTGGAGAATATGGTGGGTGTTGCAGTATGTCCCATTCAAGCTGTGAAAGCTTTTGGCGAGTGACCAAACTTGTATGAGGTCTCGCATTATCCTGGTGGAACACTACACCCTTCCTGTTGGTTAATTCTGGCCTCTTCTGTTTAAGTGCATCATTCAATTTGTCCAGCTGATGACAATAGACTTCCAAATTAATAGTTGTATTGTCCGGTAAAAGCTAAAAAAAAAAAAAAAAAAAAAAAAAAGATTCCTTTGAAATACCACCAAATGGACAGCAGCACCTTTTTTTTTTTTTTGGTGAATGTTGGCTTTTGAAACGCTTTGAGCCGGTTCATCTTTTCTGCTCCATGGCCTCTTGCATTTCACATTGTTGTATACGACCCATTTTTCGTCCCCAGTAATAATCCGCTTCAAAATTGGATCCTTTTCCTGACGTTTGAGGAGCGAATCACACACGTAAACGCGCCGACACAAATTTCGCTCCGTAAGAACATGGGGCACCCACACATCGAGCTTCAAGGTTAAGCCCAGGCCTTTCAAGTAGCCATAAACAGTCGAATTCGACAAATTTAACCTCTCACTGATCTCTCGTGTGGTTGTTCGCCGATTTGCATCAACTAATGCCTTTATCGCATCTTTGTCAGCTTCGACCGGCCTTCCAGACCGTGGTGCATCTTCGACATCAAAATTGCCAGATCGAACTTTGCAAATCAGTTCTGGCACTGGCATACTGTTAACATGCCTTCTCCATACACATCCATCAATTTTTTTCTCGCTTGGACAGCATTTTTACCTTTTCTGAAGTAAAAAAGTAAAATATGACGAAAATGCTGCTTATTGCTCTCCATATTTAAAAGGGCACCAACCAAAAACTACTAGAATTAATAGAACGTTTTCACACACAAGCCTTGTAATATCAGCTCTCAAGACATATAATGGTTATGCGGCTTAAGTGTGAAGTTGGTATCGAAAAAATGTAATTAAGTCCTCTGACGGGAAAAAACGAAATTACTTTCTGAACAACCCAATATATGTATATAAAGAATATACTATATATGTACAGTTATGTTTACAAATGTCCTTAATTAACGTTTATTTTTTGTAACCAGGGGAATATATACTTCCAATTACAAAAATATTTTAAATGTTGCATTTTCACATTTTTGTATTTTTAAATTAAAATTAATTTTGTATAAAATATGAAATCTAACTTTTTACACTTTACTCTGGTCCCTATATTTATGTTTAGGAAAATTTTGTACTTTTTATTAAAAATAAAATAAAAGGTTTGATTCTCCTACAGCAAAAATTGGCCAATATACGAGGGCAGTCCGATAAGTACTTAGCCTACAAAAGAAAAACGAAAATTTTGGAAAAATTGCGATTTATTTCTCAACATAGTCTCCTTTCAATTCGATGCATTTGACCCAGCGATGCTCCGACTTCTTTAACCCGTCTGAAAAATACGTTTTCTAGAGGTCTGCAAAGTAGGTCTCCGTGGCGGCGATAACCTCCTCATTCGACTCAAATCCCTGCCCGACGAGTGACTTTTCCAAGTTTGGAAACAAAAAGAAGTCACCCAGGGCCAAATCTGGAGAATACGGTGGATGGGGCAGCTGTTCGTAGCCTAATGCGACCAATTTGGCTGTGGCGACGGCGAAGGTTTCAGCCGGTGGGTTGTCATGGTGGAAGAGCACTTTTTTCTTCGCCAAATGGGGCCGTTTTTTCTGCAATTCGAGATCGAATCGGCCCAATAGTTCGGCATAGTAGAGCCCTGTTACCGTTTTGCCTTTCTCCAGGTAGTCGATGTAGATCACACCTTGTGAACCCAGAAAACGGTGGCCATCACCTTTGCGGCCGATGGGACAGTCTTCGCCTTCTTCGGAGCACATTCGCCGGGTAAAGTCCACTGTTTCGACTGATCCTTGGTCTCTGGTGTGTACCAGTGAATCCATGTTTCGTCAACGATCGTGAAACGACGCAGAAACTCCTTCGGATTGCGCTTAAACAGTGTCAAACACTGCTCTGAAGTGGTCTCATGGATGCGCTTGTTGTCTGGAGTAAGCAAACGCAGCACCCATCGAGCTGACAGCTTTCTCATGCCCAATATTTCATGCAGAATATGACCCACGCGGTCTTTTGAGATGCCTACTGTCTCAGCTATCTTGCGAACCTTAAATTGGCGGTCTGCCAATACGAGATCGTGGGCTTTTGTCACGTTATCCTCCGTGGTAGCAGTTTTTGAGGCACCTGGGCAAGGCTCATCAAAAACTGATGTGCGACCACGTTGAAACTTGTTAAACCAATTTTTGACGGTCGCCATTGAAGGAGAAGAGTCACCGTACACAGCATCCAAGCACTCTTTGATTTCGCACTACAAATCCAATATGGCTGAAATTTTGACAGGAGCCGTCTACAAAGATGTACTACACGATAATAAATTTCTCTTACGATAGTGGCGCCATCGAGCGATGAGGCTAAGTACTTATCGGACTGCCCTCATACTTAATTTCAAAATCTGGGATATTTGGCATAATTTTTGAATTTGAGTTGAGGAATGGGTTAATAAATAAATTAATTAAAGGTTGATTTTTTTTCACTTTACATGCCATTTTGTGATTTACTGATTAATGTCTATAGAATTTTGATATATTTAGTATGCCTAAAGTAATTTTAGTGCAAGTAATTTACAAGTTCTCAAAGTCTAAAAATATGCTATTAATAGTCTCAAGTTTTATTATTCTAGAATCATATTTTGGCAATAAAAAAAACAAGTACAAATATTTTTCATCTTCGGTTAATGCAAATAATATGAGTTGGCTATGTGCCAGCACCAAAGCCTGTAGAATACAGATTCTGTGAGAATTTGTGAATAAGATTTCATTTTGGAAAAATTATATTGATCAATATTTTTCATATTCTGCTTAAAAATGCTAGTTGCACAATTTCTTAACATCAGAAAACTTTTTTTAAGTGATATTTTATTTTTAGATACATACAAATTCAAACATTTCCCTTTTGAATTTGTGAATGGCCCCTAAATGTGATCTTTGATTTCAATATTAGATATCACAGCCAATATTTGTGGTATGGGAGTCAAACGTTTTGTGTTATATTTTTATAAGGATTACAAAATTTTCCTAAACATAAATATGCTGACCAGAGGAATAGGTAAAAAGTTTGATTTTGTATTTTATAGAAATTTTTTAAGCCTGAAAAAAACCAAAACATGAATATTTGCATCATTTAAAACATTTTTCAATAGTTTAGGACTAACAGTTGCAAAAATAAAGGAGGATTTTTGTGGACACGTATGTTATGTGGTATGTGTGTGTGTAAGTAAGGCTATGAGATTATTCTTTTATTTTTTTCATTTTATTTCTGTTTGGTTTTCTAAGTTTGTGTTTGAAAATGTTTTCAATTTTTGCCTTTCTGTTAGATAGTTTATCACTTGTGGTTGATAGAAACATAACTTAGACAAAATGGTAAAATATATTAAAAAGAGTCTTGTGCCACCTTTAGATTCTTAATAATGTTTCAAATGGAAGTTTTTGGTTTGAGTAGGACTGTAGGATGATTAGTCATGGAATGGAATTGTGGAGCACTTTGGGCTATAAAAAATTCCAGTAATGTTTGGTTGGGCAGTTGAGTTCAGTTGCCAACTGGAATGCAGCTGCTTCAGTGTCTTGGAAAGTAATTTGGTAAATCATGATCCTTGGTTCAGATTCTAGTGTGATATTAAAATTCACAAATAAAGTGACTTGAATCATGTTAAGTGTCATCTTACAAGAAGTATTAAGCCATATTTTATAGGAAACATGCACAGTAAATTTGATTATTAAAGAATGTCAAATGGAAGTGTTGCAATGGGATGAAGACCTACTGCTTAATGTAAGAACAAAGGAATTTATTAAATTTTTTATTGAACACTTTATGCATTCTGAAGGCAACTATAGGTAGAAAAATGTAGAAAGGTTGGAAATGATATTTTACTTCAACTAAGAAATGCTATTACATCAAGCTTTAAAACTAAAACTAAAATCAATGCATGTTTTTATAAATAAGGTCCAGATTTTGAAGCTCAATATTTGGAAGGATAAAAGACATTATAAATTTGTTCTAAGAAAAGTAATGATAGTTTGTGTACATATTATTAGTAGAAGTGTTTTCTTCAGCTGTAACTCTATGAAAGATAATGTTACAAACATAAGAAGAAATTGAATATATTGAACGTGCTACAGCCCACCCACCAGTCTTGAAGCAGTAGTTGGAAGCATGGCAGGAAAGTGTGATTCCCATTTTAGGGTAGAAAAGAATGTGTCTAAGATTTGTCCTTATGCTATATACACGGTAACATTATTTCTTTACTTATTGAGTGTAAAATATTGATTTCTTTTTTTTTTTTTTTTTTTTTTGATCGTGTACCAGTTTGTTTTGCATGTGTTGTGGTTGCCTCCATGCCATATATCATTTAAAGAATGAGAACATCATCAGGCAGGAAATAAACCAATGTATCTGTGTGACACTGATTATCCCCACTTTATTTTTAGCAAATCCATTGAGTTTTTCGTCAGAATCATCTCTGGGATCACCTTAATTGCAGGTAAGTATCTGACTACAGCACCCACTATGATTAGAATTCAAGGCAGTAACTAACATAAATGAAAAGTGTAGGAAATCTAATTCATCAACTGAGGAATTTAAATAATTTTGACATGATTTATGTAGTGTATATCACATTTTTGAATAAGCCAGATGCCTGTCAATAAAAAAAAATTATTTTGACAGTAAAGTTTTTGTCAGATGCTATAAACTTGAATTTAATAGACTGTATCAAATAGTTAATATATGTTCATTGAGAATTAAAAATGAAATTGAGCAGCAGGCAAAAGTGGTTTGTTGTCTAAATTAAAATTTTGCAGACCTCTCTAAATCAAAAAAAAAAAAAAAAAAAAAATGCTTCTTAGTTAATGCATGAAATCTCAGCAAATTTTAGAAATGAAAGTCTGAAATTGTTGTGTGTATGATGTCCTACAAACGTTATCATACACTTTTAGTTTCCAGAAACAATGTAAAAATATTTAAATTGATAAAATTAAAACTAGTATTTTACTAATTTCAATTAATACTTAATCTGAGCTTAAAAATTAATATTTTTTGTTAGAGAAAGGAAATCGTTTTATTAAAATCTTAGGAGACTAAAAATAAAATTTAAATTAGGTCTTAGTTTCAAGTATAAGGTCAACCAAAAAGTTCTACAGTTTTTATTTTTTTTGGATGATTAATAAATTAAGATGCAAAAAAAAAACTTTCATTGAATCTCATAAGCACCATTTTATGCTATGACATTTTGTCATTTCGCAGGCAGCTGGGAAACTTAAAAAAAAAATTCATTTGGTTTATTGTTTGTTATTGATGATAGTCTCCAAGGAAATGAACTCCAGGCCATTCACAGAATTTTGAAAGGACTCGTAGATATGAAAATCTGAGGTGTATTGAAAGGTCTGGAAAATAAGGGGACCCGGACGACTCAAAACATCTAAGCCGTACTTAATAAGTTTTTGTCTGACATTCTTCGAAATGGGGAGCCGAGGATGATATGATTACGATGGATAACAACGCGTCCAAGATTAGTCAGCTCTGGCCACTTTTCCTTAACCTGCTTCTATAATGAATATATAAATTCATTGTATATCAAAATCTTACTAGAGAGAAATATGTATCATTCCAAATATATGTACATATATATGTGTAAAATAAATAGCGTGTGTAAGCGAACGGAATCTTCATTTCCTTAAGAAGGTATAGGATCATGTAATCACAACACCTTTATGAACACAAGGCCCATTTCTTCCTTCTAAGAGAGTGGGCCATAAGTATGTCTTGATATGATCAGATTCTTGATTGGATGAATGGAAACGAACATGAAGGTCCCTACGGAAAGTTCTGGCATCATACTCAATGATGAATGATGGGTACTGATTGGACAAGCTCCATGCTAATCGAACACAGTCTTTCACATAATGCTTGAGTCCTTCGCAGTTCTTTAGCGCTGGGTAATCGTATAATGTTGCAAAAATTTGAGAAAGAACTTCCTGGAAATGAAAAAAAAAAAAATCAGTCTCTTCATTATAATAGACAACATAATTCAACTGTTTTAGGAACATACTATTTTCGATTTTTCTTTTTTAATCTGCCATTTGGAACCAGCATTTTTTATAATTTACTGTCTGATTTTGGTGGCAACAGTTCATAGTGTACTGCTCCTTTGCAATCCCACTATACACAAAGCATTACTTTTGGGGATGTAGTGGGATGTTCATTCACACCTCATTGAAAGGTCTGGAAAATATTTATTAGATATTTTTCTTGCAACATTATTATTTATGCACTTCTCATTTCCGGTAATTCGCCATTTCAAAGAAAAGCTTTAATTTTTCTAGCAAGGAATCACGTGCCAGAACACAAACGAGCATATTCTGCTCTGTTAAAAGTATAGAGTACCCTATATCGTAGCGGCTTACATATCCAGTCTACTTCAAATGATCATGTACTGCGTTTTGTCTGATAGTTCCTGAACTGAATGACTTGCATTTTCAGCAATAGCTTCTTTTAATATGTGTTGTTTACAGAGGATGGTCTTGCCATTTTTTTTAATGCAAGCTTATTAATTAATTTCGGTCCCAATTAGTTCTCATGTTTCGTGATTTCACAGTAACGATCCAAAATTATTCTTTTTGCGTAGACTATTGAGCCCATTCTGTATATTTGCAATCCACACCACGATCTTCTAGTCATATAAAGGGATTTTATGTACGTCATGTGTGTTGCTCGTAGACCAGTATGTAAACATGATTTGTCTGTGTGAACATTAGCCTCATGAATGGAATCAAGCCTCATCGATATAGGAAGCAGCCTAAAATAATATCTGAATCGTGTGTTAAAACTTTTGAAAGAACCACTAAAAATTGTAGGTGTATCGTTACTTTTCGTATGCAGGTACGGTGGAATAAATGAGTGCTTTCAAAATCTTCATATTTTTTATTGAACCCTACAACTGAAGTGTTATAAAATTACTGCTAATTTGCATATGGGCGTGCACAATTCTGCTGTTTATGTCCAATGTCACTTATTTTTGAATAATGTTATTTACTGTTATGTTGCTAAAATTTTAATTACGTAAAAGAACAGTATTGTTCTGCGGCAATAAATGTATTTTCTTTACTTCCATTTATTCTTAAAGTTATTTATTGTTCTATATTAAATATGTAAAGAACGGCGCAGTTGGTTTAAAAGATCTTAAATTATATATTCCGGTTCACAGATGTATACGCTTTGACCATTTTTTAAATGCAGCTTTCAAATACATATTGATCATCGTTAAAGGGAACACTTGTGGACTATCATAGATATTTAAGGAGTGGTTTAATATTTACATCCTGCTTGAATTTCAGTAAACTAATTTAGATGTTTCACTTCAAGAAAATGAAGGAACAAGAGAAGTTTTGAGAAAATTATTTTATTTCCCGTGTATAAAAAATGCTATTATTCTGTCTAATCATTCAATGATGTATAAAAATTCATTGCAACGATGCTCAGAGGTAAAGTGATAATGTATAAAAATGTCAACACAGATTTCATATTTGTGAATTGTTGTACAAAAAGGCTAACATTTTACTTTCTTATAGATGATATGCAGCATTCCAAACAGCTTATTCCGGAAATTTTTTATATTTAAAGATACTAGAAATGTCTTTTCCTTAACCTGCTTCTATAATGAATATATAAATTCATTGTATATCAAAATCTTACTAGAGAGAAATATGTATCATTCCAAATATATGTACATATATATGTGTAAAATAAATAGCGTGTGTAAACGAACGGAATCTTCATTTCCTTCAGAAGGTATAGGATCATGTAATCACAACACCTTTATGAACACAAGGCCCATTTCTTCCTTCTAAGAGAGTGGGCCATAAGTATGTCTTGATATGATCAGATTCTTGATTGGATGAATGGAAACGAACATGAAGGTCCCTACGGAAAGTTCTGGCATCATACTCAATGATGAATGATGGGTACTGATTGGACAAGCTCCATGCTAATCGAACACAGTCTTTCACATAATGCTTGAGTCCTTCGCAGTTCTTTAGCGCTGGGTAATCGTATAATGTTGCAAAAATTTGAGAAAGAACTTCCTGGAAATGAAAAAAAAAAAAAAAAAATCAGTCTCTTCATTATAATAGACAACATGATTCAACTGTTTTAGGAACATACAATCTAACATAAATAATATGGGTGAGGTTATTTTTATGGTTTTACTGCAATTTTACCTTTACATTCACTCAAATCAAAGAATGATGCGAAGGCAAAACTAAATGTAAAAGAGGTGAAAATGGGATGGTGCCTGAAATGATTGTTTAGACTGTAGACTGCTTAGGCGAAATTTAGCTATTTCTCAAGTTTGAGTATCGATACAATACAATCTGTCTTATGCTCCACATTTTATTGTATAAGCTAAGCTATTTTATTGTATAAGTTACCCTGCTATAGAAATGGATTGTATTATTGGTATAGCAAAGTACAGGGTGGGAAGGGTACAGTTATCCACCTTCTTGGACGGTTCTAAGAAAAATCAGCCCATATACGCTATCCATAAACAAAATTACGGAAATCTCAGGCAACTAGACTGTTCGCCTTCTTTTTCCATGAGACTAGAGTGGCCGAGGTTCTTCGGTCCGAGGTTCGAATCCCGCGAATGGGCTGGCTGCATGGGCGTTTTCGTGGTTTTCCCCGTGTGTAACGTGTATACGAGCCAGTTTCCCTTAGAAAGTCCTCCACGAAAGCATCCCTCCCCTTAGGCAGATAGCCCTAGTGCCATAATTAAATACACCACTTTGTTCCATGAGACTATGAAAAGTCCCTACTCACATAGATATGAATTTCATAAATTGGGAAAATATTAGTGTTTCTCAATTTCTGCATCATTTGACGTGTTTCTCAGCTATAGCTTTTTTAATACCTGGCCACTGATCGACTTGAGGTTAAGAGTAAGTAGTGATTATAACCGAGACACATCAATGCAAAGTATAAAATTAGGAAGAAGGGGGAGAGGGGAAAAGAAACTGGATCAGCATAGCTTTTCCATAAAGCTTGATTTCGAAGATTGCCATTTGTAGCCTTTTTTTGTCCTTGAAAGACCCTATGTCGAGAGTAAATTTCTAAAATTAGAAATGCTCGAGCCTTAGGGAAGGCCGTCAGGAAAAAGAGAGATACACTAGAATTTAATTAATTTTCAAATTAATGATAAATAATGAAATAATAAATTAAAATACTGAACCTCTTCATATTTGGAGCATTGGCAGGAATTACAGTTTTACTAAAAAACTAAGAAGTAACTCAGATGGCCTCTAGCTGAATTTAAGCCTTGAATATACGTTATAGTGATATGCCGAGGAATCGCAAAAACCTTTTTTCAACACACCCGTGAAAAAAAGTAACATAGTTAAAGCGTCACTGATGAGAATAGAGAGAATGCTAGAAACCGCATGAGAGTATGGAAGGAAATAATTAAGGGAGTGTGTAGCTTCGAAGACAAAGAATTAAAACTTTCTGACCACGGTGTCGTGTCTATCTAATTCTAGCTGTCGAGGGAATGCGACAGGAAAAAAATTTCTCCCTAGTCCTATCTGATAACACCATGAGAACAAACTTAGGACTCTATACAAGTGCCAATTTCATGTATCTGGTTATATTGTTCTAAAAATTCTGAAAGTGTTCTGTCACGAGCGTTGGGTCGACATGAGGAGGGTGATCATCTTTAGTACTAGGTAGTAAGCAAGATGCTTACAAAAAATTTACCTGCTGTCATAAATTCATTGTACTCTGCAAAATAAGCCTTTGATATGTGAGTAGGGACTTGATTTTTAAGGCTTATTTATCATTAAAATAAAAATTTTCTATTGAAATTGTAGTTCATTTATATACAAAAAGTGCCCTAGCCCTTTATTTGGGGCTCCTGTACAATTTAAGGTCTGGCTATCTCTAGAATTCGATATGAAAGTGTTTTATAAAATCTAAGCCAATTCTAAGGCTGTGTTTTTATTTAAATATATAAGTGATTGTTTAAATAAATATATAAATTAGTCAAGCATGCAAGAGCTAGGTATCTAAAGAGGAGGCGTTCACAGATGACTTTCTGTGGCAAACTTTGGTTACACATGAAGAAAACCATGAAAATCTTGTGCAGTCAGTAGTTCGCCGGGAGCCGAATTAGGAAACAGCTACTGTATTTTATATAACGATTGGCTGCAAAGTTAAATGATTTATTTTCGTTAGTTACAATTTTAAAAGGCTCACCAGCGGCCGAGCGGTAAAGTCGCTGAACATTGGTAGTTCGGTCCGAGGCTCGAATTCCGCGAACGGGCTGGCTGCATGGGCGTTTTCCCCATGTGTAACGTGTATATGAGCTAATTTCCCTTAGAAAGTCCTCCACGAAGGCATCCCTCCTCTTAGGCAGATAGTCCACGAGACTTTGCCATAATCACATAAACCAAACCAAAACCAATTTAAAAAATTATAGTTAAAAATTAGTTAAGATTTTTTGTTAATTGCTCCTACATTGCTCATAGTCAAGTTATTTAAACTTAATTAGTAAAATTAGAAATACCTTAACAAATAAGCTAGATAAACACTCTTAAGAAACAAGTTAAAATTAATAAAATAATAATAATAACAACAACAAGGAGTTTATCGGCAATCGATGAACTGTGAGTCTGAAATAAGGATATTGATAGTTTGTTTGAACAGCCATATTGATGCACCATAAACTATCTAATTTTTTTTCTATTTAAATTAAGCTGTTTCTGTTACTCTTCGTCTGCAAATTAGCAGTTATTTTTTTTATATTATTGCAGCTTTTAAACTGTGGCTTAGTAAATTTTAGATAGAAATTTACTTCTTTTCTTTTGCTTAAAAAAAATCGTTCGCCTCCGAAACCGATTTTGGTTAAGATCTACACCAAACACAGGATTGTTGCTTTGCCTAAAATGTATGCTTTACTTTTGTATGTTTCTCTTCTCTCGTTAGCCCACCAGCGGCCGAGTGCTAACGTCGCTGAACACTGGTAGTTCGGTCCGAGGTTCGAATCCCGCAAACGGGCTGGCTGCATGGGTGTTTTCGTGGTTTTCCCCATGTGTAACGTGTATACGAGCCAGTTTCCCTTAAAAACTCCTCCACGAAGGCATCGTCCCTTAAGGCAGATAGCCCTCGTGTGCTTTGCCGTAATCTAATAAACCAAACCAAACCAAACTCTTCTCTCGTTAAAATTATGAGTTTAAGTTTGTTAGGGGAAAAAAACCCATCTAAAATGCAATAACATGTCAAAAGATATAAAAGCTGGCTAGTATCTAAAAGTTTGAGCCAGATCTCGTGTGCGTAACATTTGTTAATCGTATCATTTGGAAAGAAGTAAGTGAAACGACATCCATAGTCTAACCAGTAAAGGATAACTGTTAAATAATGGTGTTACAAAATCTTAAAGAATGAAGTAATTGCATAATATGAGAGGAATAATAAATGATTATCAAATCTCCTTTGAGTTATTATGCAATATTTTATATTACTTACGTAGATAAGAAGAAAATTAAAATTATAAATTATGTTATTAATTTATATGCAAGAAAAAAAAAAGGTAACGTTATCTCGAGAGTTACGATGATATTCGATTGACCCATGAGACATATATAATTATAAGCGTGTTGGTTTGATTACAGCAAAGCACGCGAAGGTTAATTGCCCAAGGCGAGGGATAATATCATAGAGGACTTTCTGGCTTGTCTCAACGTTACAGACGGGGAAAATCACGAAACCTCCCCATGCAGCCTGCTCGTTCGTTCTCCGGTCGAACTATCAGTATTCAACGACTAAAGCCCCGTTCACATGCAACCCTCTTTGGCACAGCCACCGTTTATATTAGGGAGAAACGGGGATATGAAGCAGTTTCGCCTTCGAGACCGGTTCAGATGCACATCGTCTTCCAACCCTTAACCCTTTCCGGCACGCTACCTTTTAAAGTCGGAGTTTTGATTAAAAAAAAAAAAAGAAAAGAAAAGAAAGAAAAAAAAAAAAGTGGGCAGTCTAATTAGGCCTAGAGGAGTACACAAGTAAAATTTTGTGAAGATAGCACGTATCGTTAATTTCTGTGGGTGTGCTCGAAGAGGGCACACTGATTGAATAGAGCTACGAAAAGAGTGCTGAAACGAGCATTGTTGTCAATGAACTGACCGATGAGATGCGGAGAAACAAAGAATACAGACTCTCAGTTGTCCTAGATTATCGTAGCCCGGTCTGGGCACACCTCGGGTTCGCTGTTTGATTTTAAAGCAAGATTTCAAGGTAAAAATTTAAAAAAATAAGAATAGGAGATTAGATACAGCCAAAAAAATAACACAGAAATTTCTTTTCAAGCAATTTTAGATTCTTAAAAAAAAAAAAAAAAAAAAAAATCTGAAAGATTTCTTTGAAAAATGAGGGTTTTAAAAAATTAATGCCTAAAATATATGGACTGGTTTGTGTTGAGCTGCCATCTACTATAAATAAAGAAGGTTCAGAGTAACCTATAAATCCTTTTTTCATTAAATTTTTCTGTGCGTACAGAAGGAAATTTTTAGGTGTGTCCAGACCGGACACACTGTGCCGCAAAGGGTTAACCCATAAGCCACTGCGAGCAATAAATGATGTCACAAACGCGAATCAGATTGGCGGATTTTTAACGTTTACTTACATCTCTTTTGACATTGTTTACTATGGCTACAGAACGCCATCGCAGTTTAACTCTTTAATTAATTAAAATACACCTAAATTAATTTAAAATGCAATTATATACGAGACCAAATGATTAAAAGAAGAAACGAAACCACATATGCCGCTGTGTGGTTTTAAATAAAATGTTTTGTAGCTGCTAAAATTTCAAACTTTGCTTTTTGAAAAAATTAATAAAACGACAAATTAATAGCATTAATATTAATTATAAATGTTTTAATATTGATTATAAACGTTTTTGAAAATATATTAGAATTAATTCATCTGTTCAAATTATTTTGAACGTGTTTCACAAAGATTTATATGAAAGCTTGTAATTTACGTTTATATTAACCAACTGAATAGCACTAGGTTTTATTTTATATATATGTAATGA